ATATGAACGCTATGCAACGTTTAGTGTACGCAGGTATGAGGTACAAGGCAGAAGGGAAGGACCAATTTTGTACATAAACGTTATACTTATCAAATAATTTATCATATCGTAGAATCGCAATACTATCGTATCGTGGCTTAAGTATCGCGATAGTATCGTATTGTGGGGAGCCCGGTGATTCCCACCCCTAGTTGATATATAATGTATTTACAGCAGTTAGAAAAGGACCGTCTTTCTCTGTAACACATTTTTATTGAGAGTATGGCGGTCGTCTTACCGTTTCCCCTTCCTTCTTCTTGGTGACCCCGGAGTACGCCTCTAGCACCCCGAGGTGGTACAGCTGCCGAACGAGAGACAACGCACATGACTGAGCAGCCAGCTTCTTGTTGGAGCCGTGCTCTCGAGCCGTGATCTCTGGAGAGCAAAAAACTCTTTGACATTCGATCTCAAGTCTCAAAAACTTCCAATCAGAACAAAAAACTCCAATGTTGAGAACATTAGGTGTCCCGCAGGGTGCATGATTGGGCCCACTTTTACTCTGATAATGTGTAAAACAGTAGCTTTATTCTTTAAATTACGATTAGGTAAAATAAACATTAAAAAAGCTGAAGTACAAACTGCCAATTTTAAGAATATTAGAGCACGAGTTCCTCAGGGTTCATGATTGGGCCCACTTCCACTTTACAAATCATCAGATTAAGTCAAACATTTCTAAAAACTAAAATGGTTGTAGGAGTGCTCTTGAGCCAGGATCCCTACAGAGCACAGAACGCACTGACATTGGACCATCTGAAGAAAACGACTCAAAAACATCCAATCAGAACTCAAAAAGGGCCGTTTCTAAGAACATTAGGAGTTCCTCAGGGTGCACGGTTGGGCCCACTTTCACTTTGAACTGTAAAATAAAACCTCTGTATTTTAAGAACATTAGGGGTTCCTCAGGGTGCACGGTTGGGCCCACTTTCACTTTGATAATATCTAAACAGTAGCTTTATTTTTTAAATGTACGTTTTCTTTACGTTTGTTGTGTTTATGAGGCTAAAGTGTTTAAATATGTGTGCGGACCACAGGAAAAATAGCTAATGCTAATTAATTAATTAATGGAGATGCTAATAAAAAGTAAAAGTGAATATTTACAGATTCGATAAACATTTAAATATATAAAATGTCTTACTTCTGCCGAGCTGCCTCACAAACAGATTCATCTCCGCGATGAAGCTCCTGCAGACACAAATATTACACTCTTCACTTCCTATTGGTTTTTCAAAAATAAAACAGGAAACAAAGCTTGGGAAGGGGAAGTGATGGACTCACCTGCGGCGGTGCTCTCAGGAGGAAGCTGTGTGTTTTTCTGCCAGACTTGAGAGTATTAAATCACAGATGGAGATGTGAGGCTCTCTGGCTGCTCGCTGCCCTGCGGTGACACCAGAAATCACAACCACACCCCCAACAGCGCCACCCATGGGACAGCTTTAGTGCTGCATCTAAATGCTGCCCCATGTCTTCATCAGAGGGAGTGAGTTCTGGCGTCACCTTCGTCTCAAATATTCATCACCTGTCCACACACAGCTGAATGCTACGCCGTCGTTTAATTTGTTCTATCTTTTATTTCACATTTTACAATATTTTTATTTATTTATTCTGGCATTCATTACACATTTCCTTTTTTACATTTTTAACTCTTACTTCTATTCAGATAATTCTATTTTACATTACATTGCATTTAGCTGACGCTTTTATCCAAAGCGACTTACAATAAGTGCATTCGACCAGGAAGATACAACCTTTAAGAAAACAGAATCATATAAGTACATCAGGTTTCATAGAGCCAAACATTTCAAGTGCTACTCAACTGGCATTTAAAAAGCCAGCCCTTTATTAGTATATAAGTGCTTTGTTAGTAATTTTATCGCTCGAAGTGGAGTCTAAAGAGATGAGTTTTCAGTTTGCGTCGGAAGATGTGTAAGCTATCTGCTGTCCTGATTTCAATGGGGAGCTCATTCCACCATTTTGGAGCCAGGATAGCAAACCCACGTGTTTTTGCTGACGGGAACTTGGGTCCCCCTCGCAGTGCGGGTGCAGCGAGCTGTTTGGCTGATGCAGAGCGGAGTGCACGTGCTGGGGTGTACGGTTTAACCATGTCCTGGATGTAGGAAGGGCCAGATCCATTCGCAGCATGGTACGCAAGTACCAGTGTCTTGAAGTGGATTCTAGCAGTTACTGGAAGCCAGTGAAGGGAGCGGAGGAGCGGTGTGGTGTGGGAGAATTTGGGAAGGTTGAAGACCAGACGAGCCGCTGCATTCTGGATGAGCTG